ATTTTTATGTGGTCAACTTGAATTGGATATTAAACTCACGAGTTCTAGTTTTAGATTATTTTTTCTAAGACAGAATCTGTAGAAAATAATTGCAGTTTCAGTGCCAGAGAATCAAGAACAAATCTTGCGGTTGAGCTGTACTTCACTATATAACGCGTGTGATTATGCTAAATAAGACAAGTTTAATGGATAGAAAATAAACCACACACCAACCCTTTCTGTCCCTGCCTTAATCACTTGTTTTAAATAATCAATCTAGCTAATTTACTGCTTTGTGTTGTATTAGTGTTGGGAAAATCACACGTATATATAACTTTTCTGCAGGTCAAAGTTAAATTAGCACTCAAATATTTAGGTTTTAAGAGTGGAAGCGCTATAGGATAAAAACAGAAAATTAATTAGCAATCTATATATTATACGTAAACTATATAATATGTTATGTTGACAAACTGTCAATTATATGAAATCATACAAAATGTATGAATGATTAGTTTTCCAAGGATTATATATTAATTTATCGGGCACGTGTTAACTTGATTCTCTATGATGATTCAATAGCTACAGAGCCAATCCTTAAAACGAATCAGCATGCAGTGGGAGCTAGCTAGCTATATAAATTAATTAGTAGGGTTCAGTTGAGATATGGGATAAGACTTCAGCTGGTTCTCAGAAACTCATCTAAAGTAAGAGAAATTTTTAGTTGTGACATGAACACAAGTGATTCATCATGTGTTTTGATATGAATGGTGAGAAATGACATTTTTTAAGGTATTAACTTTTTACCACACATATCCACCATTTGTTTAGTGACAAGTAGTGTACCATCCCGTATACCAATCACACTGAAAAATATCTCCTAAAGCAGAATGTATGTAGTATTTTTTTTAAAGGACGACTGTCAGAATTTCTATGAAGTTTCAAAAATTCGTTGTCAATTAACATTGATATTGTCATTAATTTAATTAATTGTATAGTCTAATAATTGTCAGAGCCGATTTTATGCAAAAATATGGATGTGATTAATAGTAAATTATTCATGTATAAAATAAATTTAATTAACTTCATGAGATTTATAAAGTGGGAGATAAGCTTTAACAATGAGGAGAAGGGAGGAGGCAATAAGAAAATGGCCGAGAAAACTATATGATATGAAACAAGTTGACTGTTATAAGAGTGTTTCGATGTAATAATAATTTATTGTTGTGTAAAAAAAAAATCGAACATAATAATATATTATTAGATCTAAACATCACGTGACAATAAAAATGTTCCATGTAAATCCTTCTTGAAAAGCAAAGGATTAGATGGGACCCGTATATCATATGGATTTGGACCATGACACTGCTAGCCCTTACCCTAAACCTACACGCTTTCTATTGAGAATCGATTCTCATTGCTCGTAAACACCATGGAGTATGGACCACCCGATGTCCGAATTATAACCCCGACACCTGGCAACAGCCCACAACCAGGAACTCCTCTCTACCATTTTGTGCATCTAATGATACAGTATGGACCACCTAGTTTGTGTTGACCATTGGATTGAATGGATATATGGAAAGGAAAAGGATTGTCTGTCTTCCCACTTTTAGTGCTCTTTCGTGTCCTTCTGTTTGTGTGGTTACGGTTTAGCCACGTTAACATTTTATATTACTATTCATTAAATAATATAAAATGTTGACGTGTCTTAACTGTGATCACACAAAACAAGAGGGCACCGGAAGTGGGAAGGCAGACAATCCTTGTCCATATGGAAAACATATGGTAAGAGAAATGCAAATGAGATTTTCTATAAATTTTTTATGAATTTTTGGCCATTTTATATTTTTGACACAATTGTATGACGACATTATAATATATTGTGTCAAAACATAAAGTGGTCAAGAGTCTATGGAGAGTTTCATTTCAAGAGAGTCTCCTTAACATTATCGTGGTTGGCATGGCATCATATGACAAGCTTTGCAAAGTGATATCTCTCTCCCGCTCTCTCTTCACTCCGAGAAATAAAAACAAAGAGGAACTCAAAGGCAAGTCCCAAATGTTCCCCAATTGGGTTACCTGATTTGGAGGGATCTGCAGAAGTATACTTCCTGGGTTCCACGATTGACTACAACTACTCAGGACACTCTAATAATAGTGATATTTCACCACCTCTTCTCCAAAGGATGCAATCATGCAAATATATCAATTTTCTTTTTTACGAAATATCAAACCGATTTATAAGTATCATGAGACGTGAACTTTTTTTTTTTCTCAACTAAAATAAGGTTAATAATGTTATTTGATATTCTAAGTTATTCTAATTCACGATAAGATAATTCAAATTTGAATACAAAGTGATCGGCATATTATCTTAGACAATAGACACACATCCGCATCTTTGTATGATATTTGAGTTAAAGATAAAAAATGAAACCATGCTTATTATCCTAAAAGACAAATCTTGATCTTAAGAAATATAAATAAGCCATTATTTAAAGAGTAAATTACACAAAATTACCTCAACTATTGGGTCAACCACAGTTTCATACATCATCTTTAAAACCTTTCAATATCATACATTATCTTACGAATTTGTTGCAATGTTATACTTCCGTCAGTTTGTCTGTCTGACATGGCTTGAGGCGGGGCCCACTTCCTGGCCTAATTAGATTAAAAATTAATTAAATATTAAAAAATAAATCATTTAAATATTTTTGTTTAAAAAGTGGGATCCACCCCCTACAAACCATCACCCCACCCTTCTTCCCCATCCCACCCGAGGACATCAACCTCGCCCTCTCCTCCCTCGCATGGACTTCATCCAAAGCCCTATACACCACAATCACAACCTTTTTACACAAATCTTACCAAATTAATCACTTTTTAGTTGAAAAATTCTAAAGCTGATCTCATTGGGTAAACCTCCTCCACCACTCCTTCTCCTCCCTCTTCCTCTGTTGTTATCCTCATCTTCCTTACACTCTCCTCGCCGCTGAGTCCCAAATCAATAACAAAAAATATTCATCAACTCACCCAGTATACTCATAACCTCAACATCATTGTGACTCAATTTCACTGAGTTGTTCTTGAACAAGAAGATGAGCTCTGCTGATGAGTTGTTCTTCGACGGGAAGATTCGACCCATAAAGCTCATGACGCACCAAGAAAAGACCCAAATTAAAGACCCCCAAAATTCTCTCTCAAGCTGGTCCAACACCTCCCCCACCCACCACTGCCAATGGTCCAACACCTCCGCTTACGATCTATAAATTTTCCAGTGGCTCCGTTTGGACTTCGAGCCGGTAACTAGGGAAGACAAGGGGGATCAGGTCGAGTTCTAGCTCGTCATAGGCAAAGATCTGGTGGAATTTTGCCACACACTAGGTTGAAAAAGGGTCCAACAAGACAAGATTGGAGAGGGAGAAAAGAGAAAGACGGAGGGAGTTGATGAGTTCAAACTCTCACCTCTGTTTCTCTAACCTGCAAGTAATCTAGCAACAGTAATGGAGGAGGGAAAGAGGAAAGTGATAGAGAGAGAGCTAGAAGTTTATGTTAAATTATATTTTTCATGTTCAAATGACCGTTGTGGATAGTTTGGCAAGGAATGGGAGGAGAGGAACGGAGGGAGGGGGAGTCAAACAGGTGGCGGAGGAGAGGTTTGGGTAACCGAAGATGGGTGAGGTCGATGTCTAGGGTGAATTGGGAATAAGGTGAAGGTGATGGGTTTGTAGGGGATGGGTCCCACTTTTTTTTAAAATAAAAATATTTAAATGATTTTATTTTTTTTATTTTTCTAATATTTAATTAATTTTTTAATCCAGTTGGGCCAGGGTGTGGGCTCGCCTCAAGCCGCGTCAGCATTTAACGAAGGAATTGATAAACAAACTGACGGAGGTATGACATTGCAACAAATTCGTAAGATAAGGTATGATATTGAAATGTTTTAAAGATTGAGTATAAAACTATGGTTGGCCTAATAGTTGATGTAGTTTTATGTAATTTATCCTTATTTAAATTATGTTTTTTACACAATTTTGTCTTATTTAAACAACATAAATTTGAGTATAAGAAAGAATGCACTCGCCATTTTCCCTTAAGTTTGAATCCTCTTCTATGTGTGTAGTTTAATTTAAATTATAACAGCACTTCAAAGAGTTACTAAAATTTGCTAATTTAGCTAGTACATAGTGTCAAAATTTTGCTAGCGCATTTAACTTGTATTTTCAACAACAATCTCTATTTTAACAAATTTTAAATATATAAATTGAAAACATAACATTAATCCTACCACAACACACTTGATTAACGTGGTTACATATTCCGGAAAATGATCTCAGGAATTTCGTGATCGTGATCGTTCATCGTACATCGTATTGTCAGGTTTTATTAGGTACTATTTATATTTAATTTTAAATTTTAGAATATTTCTAACCGCACGATATACGATGAACAATCACGATTACGGAATTTCTAAAATCCCTAGAAAAATGATCCAACGAAGATCCTTTTCCACACACATTCCTACCATAAGACATTTGATTATGTAGTTATATATTATGAAATTGAAAACTCAAAAACTTGATTAATTGGAGATCGATGACGCAAAAAGACATTCGTACATGATGTTCGCTTTCAGACCAAAAAAACATGACGTTAGCGTGTCGGTGCTTCACTGGAAGTCAGAGCTGAGTGCCATCTGTCTTCGACATCCAATAATCAATCTATCCACCTACAACAACTAAAAATATAATGTTTAATTAATGATGGGAATAATGACATAACCCCATATGTCAAAAATTGCAGCAAAAATCATGCATATAGCCATTATTCTCTTCGTTTGTAAGTAATTTAGCTGCGTGAATATGTGGTGGTATGTGCTATTTTTCTTGATCTCCCATCTCCTTCCACTTTTATTATAAATAAAAGATTACTAAAAAGATGGATTTTACTTTGCATTTAAATAAAATGAATTTATAACATTCTGTATATGTATGGGTGAACGTGTGCGAAAACTCTGCAATGCTCTTATTTATGTGCTATATATAACAATCAAATGGTATAGTAAGAGAAGTATGTACATGCAAAATTTTAATAATAATGTCTATATCCATAGTGTCGGACTAGTATTTATGAAGTGATTAATTGTAATTACAATAATAATTACTTTATATTTTATAAGCTAAATTTTTTATACAATTTGTAAACACTGGTCAAAGAATCAGCACCGTCAATTTATTATTCATAATGTCGGACTAATGTGCCTTTCGCGTTTTTCCCTCATGTACCCCTGTGCCTTGAGGCTCCCTATTTATATGCATGCAGCGCTCTATTTCCACAAAGCAAACCCTCCTTCCTAAAAACCAACTTCTCTACTCTCTCTCCCTCTCTCTAAGCTTGTTAAGAAAAAGTTCTTTTCATTTCACAAGTACTTAACCAGAGGCTAGCAAGTTTGGTTGCACTGAAAATGTTGTCAAGGAAAGCAAGTTGTGACTCTCATGGCCAGGACTCATCCTACTTCCTGGGATGGCAGGAATACGAGAGGAACCCATATGATCAAGTTCAAAATCCAAATGGTATCATTCAGATGGGACTTGCTGAGAATCAGGTGAGAATCCGTCATCATGAAAATATACGATCTATTATTGCTACTAAAGTCCATTGGAATTAGTAAATAAAGTATAAGGTTCGAAGCCCTCTAACGTAAATAAAAGAAAAAAAAAAGTACTACTTACTAGCTTCTATGCCACAAAATATTTTGAAAAGATCTCATAGCTTGGTCAAGCCTCAAGCTATCATGATAAGAAATAATAATGTAATCAATCAGATGGTACATGGTTGTTCAAAGTCACAATCCAAGTTGGTTGGTGGTTTTGCATGCGTGCGTGCGCATGGTCTTATATCCGTTTATACATTTTTTAATTAATTTTTATAATTATTTGAGTGTTAATATTTTGTACATCTTTAGTCTCTTACGCAATTCCACTTCCGGTAACATGCTTATCAATATGCACCTCTTTCTCTCTCTCTCTCTCTCTCTCTGCAGCTCTCGTTTGATCTTATTGAGTCATGCCTCGCAAGCAATCCCGATGCACTGGAGTTGAAAAGAAATAGAGAATCTGTTTTCAGAGAGTTGGCTCTCTTTCAAGACTACAACGGGTTCCCTGCTTTCAAGAATGTACATAGTTACTTCTAAATTTATGTAAACATTTAATGCTATGGAGACTAAATTTGGAGATTAAATTGATAAATTAAATGATGTGTCACCAATAAGAATAAATACGTTTATCAACGTTTAAGTAATAAACCAATCATCAATTTTCATATTCTTTAGTTTTCAAAACTTCGTTTCTAAATTTAGTTTTTCTAGTATTACCCAAGAAATATATATGTTTACAGTTTTGATCATGGATTAATATATATACGTGTGTGTGTGTGTGTGTGTGTGTGTGTGTGTATATATTGTAAACAATATGCGCTTGTATATACAGGAGATGGTAGAGTTCATGGCAAACATGAGAGGAAACAAAGTAAAATTTGATCCAAGCAAGCTTGTGCTCACAGCTGGTTCAACTTCTGCCAACGAAACTCTTATGTTTTGCCTTGCTGATCCCGGTGAAGCCTTCCTCCTCCCCATTCCATACTATCCAGGGTATTGATCTAATCTTTGTCCGCTACATATTACGACTAGTTCTGGTAAGAACATATAAAAATTGTACTTGAGAATTTTTTGTACATACTAGTTACATATAAACCTTTATGTCACAGCTACAAGCATGTGAAACTCACCACACAACAATGAGTCTCACAAACATTTATAACTTGTGAGTTTCACATGCATGAACTGGTGCATACAATTAATAATTTATTCCCGTGTATAACTTCTTAATTAGTACTTATATTTTGTTTGAAAATATAACTCAACTATTGTTGTTGATCACTTCCTCTTTTTGGCAGGTTTGATAGAGATCTGAAGTGGCGTACCGGAGTTGAAATTGTTCCAATAAAATGCACAAGTGAAAATGGATACAAAATCACTGAGTCTGCATTGCAAGAAGCCTACCAACAAGCCCAAAAATTCAACCTAAAAGTTAAAGGAGTATTGGTCACAAATCCTTCAAACCCTTTAGGCACAACAATGACTCGACTTGAACTCAACCACCTCATAGACTTCGCCATGGAAAAAGAAATACACATAATAAGCGACGAAATATACTCAGGAACCGTCTTCAACTCCCCTAGTTTCATAAGCATCGCAGAAGCTCTAACTGAAAGAAACCTAGAAGACGACGAAATACGGAATCGTTGTCACATTGTGTACAGCCTCTCTAAGGATCTCGGGCTGCCGGGTTTTCGGGTAGGCATGATTTACTCCAACAATCAAACTGTTGTGTCAGCAGCTACAAAGATGTCAAGCTTCGGACTTGTCTCTTCACAAACTCAGTACACTCTTTCCCAAATGCTGAAAGACAAGAAATTCACCGCCAACTACATGAAGGAGAATCAAAGGAGGCTTAAAAGGAGAAAGGAGATGCTTGTTTATGGGCTCAAGGGGGCAGGGATTAGGTGTTTGGAAAGCAATGCTGGGTTGTTTTGCTGGGTGGACATGAGGCACCTTTTGAGGTCCAACACTTTTGAAGCTGAAAAGGAGCTTTGGAAGAAAGTGGTATGTGAATTCGGGTTGAATATCTCTCCCGGTTCTTCTTGCCATTGCTCTGAACCGGGTTGGTTTAGAATGTGCTTTGCAAATATGTCTGAAGAAACCCTAATGGTTGCAATGCAACGTGTCAAGGCCCTCGTTGACTCCACAATTGTTCACCAGCAAACAGGACTGTCCAAATCTAGGGGGTTAAAGAGCAAGTGGGTTTTCCAATTGGCTTCATATGAGCATGAACCAGAACGTTAGTTAATTAACTAATTAATCCTGTGTGACATATTGGATTTATTTGGTTTGCTGATAAATGTAGAGATTAAGCAGGTGATGCTTGCAGATTATGTTTTCATCACCATAAAATGTAGTTAATTATTGTACTTATTCGTTGTATTTTGTGTGGTATTTTTTATTCGTAAGAATGATAGTCCACGGCACGTTATTGGAATAAAATGAAAATGTAGTCTCATATGCATATATGTATATGTATGTGTGTAAATTAATGATGAAGTGTTACTAATATTGTAGAATATCTAAACAATGATAGTAGTAAACTATATGTGAGATGTATATGTATATATGTGCTTTTTAATGGACTTCCTTAATCTAAAAACAGTCATCTAATGTCCAGTTAATCTGTTAATTAACTATTGATGATTTAGTGACAACTTCAAATTCGAATCCTTCAGTCTTCGATTATAAATGGAAAAACTCGTAGCCAAAGGACCTTCTATTTTAGATGATAGCTCTTGTCATTAATTGTAAAAGTGTGAAACTCTTTTTTGATCGGACTGAAAGTCTTCGCACAATTTTTCATCGAGACTCACTTCTCGCATCCGATCCTTTGTTTTGGACAAAAAAAAAAAAAAATCCTTGCGGTCATATTCCAACAAAAAAACACCCCAGTCATTAGTCATAGAAGTTGTTTTGATCTGTATTGAACTTGTCACTATAATGCTTAAAGGCACAATTTTCCCTAAACCCTGCCTTAATCGAACAAACCAAACTCTAATTATGCTTTAACTCAGACCATAAACAGAACATCATTCTACTTTTTTATTTGTTTGGTTTTATATGTGACTGTGATATCCACACATCTCTTTTTACAGATTGATTCATTGAATAAAAGATAGGGGTGTGATTGTGATATCCGCACACCCTTTTTTACTTCTTACACACCATTCTAATTTTCGGCCGTCGGATCGGATGAATTAAAGAAGATCAAATGATAGAAATTAACATGAGGTGTGTGAGAAGTAAAAAGGGGTGTGTGGATTGCACACCCCAAAAGATAAACCATTTTCTCCATTCCACCTTGTTGATGCACAAAATCGGAATCGCCACCCTCAATTCCTCAACATCTTCTATAATGACACCTTTTTTTAATATGGCACTCTCATCTAGATTCATCAAAAACTTATGTTTCAAGGCAGCTTGCTTCGGACTTAGATGTTCTAGGTACATTTCTATTTCCCTAACCCCTGGAACATACGTGCACATTTCAGCCACATCTTGGTCCTGTTCAATAAGCCTTAATCCATCCCAATAAAACATCCCAGGAATCCTATAGTGATACAACATAAACCCATGATATCCTAACTCCTTAACCATTTCATCAATCTAGAAAAAAAGACATGAAGTCTTTGTCTACGTAATCAAACCAAGCCTCAAACATTCCCGTATATGCACTTTCAGACCACTTCCTAGTGTGGTTAATTTTAAGGCTAAATAATTCGGGCATGCCTGCACTGCAAAGTTAGGGAGAAAGACAACATAAAATCCTAGAGGCACAAGGGGAAAAAGGTGAAAACAAAACCATGGGAACCATGAATACAGTTCCACCTTTTTTCCTGAAACCATAGAAAAAAAAAGGTGAAAACAAAGCCATGGGGACCACGATTGAAGACAACACCACATGCACAACCCACTACAAAACACAATTCCAGAAACCATAGAAAAAAAATGGGATGGGAACTCACAAATCCCTAATCCCTAAAATTCAAAATTGAAAAATCGAAAAACCTAAACCCATATTATCTACACTTCGAAAAAGGTAGGTTACTTACAATAAAATGGTGTTTCACCCACTTAGATCCTCCCTTTTTTCCACCTTATCGCCAGCGATGGCTTCACGACAATCTTTCCCAAAAACGTGTGTGCAACGTATGACGGCGTGCGAAGTGGAGCGACATCCAGGTGGAACAACGACGTGCAAGGTGGAGCGACGGCGAGGTCAAGCGACGGCAAGGTCGAGTGATGGCATGTTGGTAGGGTTTCGGACGGAGATGGGGGGGTCGCAAATATTGAATTTTGAATATTTTTTTTTTACTGAAACCCCTTCTCTAAAAAAAATCCACGTGGCGCCCAGTCATTGGCCATGTGGGCGTCACGTCACAGTTAACGAAAGACTTAACAATTTGACTAACAGATATATGAGACTGTCCCAAAATTTACACTTTAAGTACGACTCTGGGACGAAAAAAACTTAATGTACTAAATGTTGAAAACAACGAAACATAATGTTAGTAAACAGGTATTTACTCAAAATAAAAAAAAGCTAGCTACCATGGCTGTATTGAAAATGTTGTCAAAGAAAGCAAGTTCCGACTCTCATGGCCAAGACTCATCCTACTTCCAAGGGTGGATAGAATACGAAAAGAATCCTTATGACCAAGATAAAAATCCAAATGGCATCATTCAGATGGGACTTGCAGAGAATCAGGTGACAGATATATACCTAGTTTAGTTGTAATATTATATGATTATCTATATTATCTATATTATTAAAAGAAGAGGGCTTGTCAACTTTTTACCCTATTTTCTTTTAATTTTGCCCTCACTTGTTGACATCAGGAGGGCAAAATAGTAATTTTGTATGTTTTAAACTTTTTCCCATTTTTTCCTATTTTGCCCTCACTTTTGATACACAATATTTACATAAGGAGGGCAAAATAGTAAGTTTATATCGAAATATTTACATAAGCTAACAAATATGCACTTAGTAAGAGAAATTGTCTCACCATTATTTTTTCATACACATAAGTGAAATCATGATGTTGTTTAGATAATTTGAATTAACTGAAGCGGTTGCGTTTGAGGAGAACGTAGAAGGAGGTGAGCGGTTTTTCCCTTTTTTTCCTATTTTGCCCTCACTTTTGATACACACTATTGACAAAAAGGAGTGCCAAATAGGAAAAAAAAAGGGAAAAGTTGACAATGAGGCTTCTCTTAATAATAGTTTTAAAAAATGCACTTATTAATAGAAATTATTCACACATACACACAAAATATGTGCCCTCTGCTAGTTAATTAGCAATAATAAGGATTTTTTTTTAAACAATAATAATGCAATTAATCATATGTATATACATTTTTAATTAATTTTTTAAATTGTTTTTGGCAGCTCTCCTTTGACCTTGTTGAGTCATGGCTTGAAAGCAATCCACATGCACTGGAGCTGAAAAGAAATGAAGAATCCGTTTTCAGAGAGTTGGCTCTCTTTCAAGACTACAACGGCTTCCCTGCTTTCAAGAATGTAATTACTTCTAATTTTATTTTCTAAATGTATAACATATTTTTCTAGTAAATAAATTTATTTGTACAAACTCTCTCTATCGATTCAAAAAGCCACCATTTGGTCCGAGAGTAAATAAGTTCTTCTCTAAAAAGGTTGGCTTTAAGTTCTAAAAAAGAGAGGCTTTTTGCCAGTACCCTCTCTCTTCACATCATTCATTCATTCAGTCCATTGGTTTCTTCCATTCACGAAAAAGCCCATTTATTACTTTTAAAGTAATGCTAAAATATCAAATTTTGAACTAACTTTATAAATCAAATGATAATGAAATGTTCATGATTAAATTATCCTTAAATGTATTAAAGTATTGAATTCTATTGAATCCTCATCATTTAGTTACAAATAAAATTAAAATTTTCGATACAATATTATTTATTTTAGGTCATACCGTTCTCATTACATATGACACTCACTTAAACAATGGTTTAAAGTCGCGCCCGCCAAGTTTGCTGAGTAAGTTGTTTATAAATAAAGATAAAATCAATTAGTCGGGTAGAAAAGCTTGATTTACGATGAGGTCCCTTTTGTGGATCCTAAACATCCTCAATAGTTCGTTCAAGCGCACGATCAGTTTTTTTTCCAAAGCGTCAGGAGAGTTTTGTATTATTTTTCTTCTACAAATATTTTAAATAATTTATTCACACGATGTACGAACATGATTTGAGGATGCTACAAAAAGGAATATAGAGAGGGCGTCCTCAATTTAACGAGCCATGCAAATCCCACCTAGCCTTGTCAAGTATGTTTTGAGAATAATCTGTTTGCTCACCTCATCTTATTTTCACTTACGTTTATTTCCGCCATTGCAGCTCTAACATAATCAATTTTTCTTCAATAATCGAACTATAATGTTAATTGGAGCGAATACGACTCTGTATTCCAGTAATTTAGAACCTGCATCCATAAATACACTAAAACCAAGTACAGCATGATCGTCGTAACAAACTCTATCGGACCGCAAAAGGAGTATATTACAACACACAAGAAAACTCTTGTTCGCAATCATGCACATGCAGCTAACCACCAAATTCAAAGACTGGAAGATACGTTTCACCATCAAAATCCATATACATATCAGAACCAATTTACCTACAGAGTCAAAGCGTGATGAGAATAAAAAGAAACGAACAAAGCAACAAAATCCTCTCTCCTCTCCTCCCTCTACTCCTCTCCGCCCTTCCTCGTCCCCTCCTCCCTTCCACTCCCTTATAATCCCTGTCACTGTTTTTTTGGTGCTAACATGCTCATTTAATATTCTCTGCATCCACATCAGGAGACCCTTTTGTAACTGGAGTTGCAGCTATTAACATCAAAGATTGGAACTAAACAATTGATTAAGAATGCTTAGAAGAGGCGGACCTGACATGATAATCTTCCAAATCAAATGAGTTTGGAGCTGCGGCAGTTCCTCATCACGACTGCTCTTGTACAGGCACCATCCTATTGAAGGCTTTGCCCCAGCTTTTATCTTTTTCCATTCTCAGAGTTACACACGGGTTTTCCTCTTGCCTCCCCTTTCCTAAACTGCCTACCTCTTGAATGCTTGCACGCCGGTTTTGATAACTCTTGTTGAAGGTTTTGGCAGCCGTTGGTTTTGAACAGGGAGAGCTTCCAATTCTGTTGGAAGCCATGAACATATCAATATGAAATTTACAAAAAAAAATTGTTGCACATTAACAATAAATAAATAAGAAACTAAATGGTTTCTTGTGTGATTCAAGTAGAAGGTATTTAATTTACTATGATGTTATACCGACAAACATTTAGCCAAATTTTGGTTTGTTTACTCTCATAAATGATACAAGTTTTCCTGCCGCCACGCTTCCAATAAACTTATATACATAGAGCTAATTCTGAACAAATCCAAGTGTTAAAAAATCGGTCTCCCTCTCAAC